TTTCGTAAGGACTTCAACCAACCGCTGACTCCACCTGCTAACGCCGTACAGGTACTGGCCTGCGGAATTGTACTCACCATCTTCTTGGGCCTGCTCAAGCTATGGTACGACAAGAACAAGGTCCGCAAGTACAGCAAAGTGGACAAAGGCAAACGCGCAGCCACTCCGGAAATGCTTGAGGCGCAGCCAGTAACCCAGGTGACCGAGGAGACCAAGGATGAGATTCCATTCGGCATCCGCGCAATCCAGAGCGGTATTGAGGTCGACGGTGTCTGGATCTCGCGTACCAACACCCCCGTTGGCAGTAGCCGTGCTTCCATCATCAGCGAAGCCCCTCCATACGCCTCGCAGTCGCAGCTCTCGCTGCCCCGGCCAGTCGCCCAAGGTTCCAGCCGCAACAGCTCGCGCGGTCCCAGTTCTTTCGACCGCGCCGTCTCCGCTGAGCCCGTCTCAACCCAGGACTCCCGATCATCTTCTCCTGCTCGTCCCCACAACCATGAGGGCCCCCGCTGCAGCAACTGCAATCACCACGTCTCCCGCAACAGCGCCCTCAACGCCCTGGAAAACCCCTACGCTACCCGCAACTCTGGCGCTACTTCTCGTGAGTATCAGCATGCGCAATAGATTGAACTATGCTAACAGCCTTAGCTCCCCTCGGTCAACATGGACAGTCCGCAAGCAATTCCAGCCGCCGCACCAGTGACGAGTCCGACTACATGGCAGCTGGCCAGGACGTCCGCACCTACGAGTCCGCATACTTCAGGCCCAACCAACCCATTGACCCCAAGACCGACCTCGAACTCCTCCGCAGCCATCGTCTTTCCCACGTCGCCGAGACTGGACAGCTCACTCCTCGAGTGCGCAAGCCAGGTAATAGCGGAGAGTGGGCCAGCGTGGCGGACAACCAAGTGTCCTCGGTCAATGGTGTTAACTATTTCATGCCTCAGAAGTCACCTTCTCCTCCGCTAGCTACTGTCGCCGACCAAGCTGAAGACGTATCTGCCGGACCGAGTCACGATGGCAACGCAGCGAACCAGGCAAGGCAAGCGGTTCCCCTGACCGAGTCTTACGCGCCCAACGCTCCCTACTACCCCGACACCTACGAACCCCGTGGCCCTCACCACCAATACAGCTACGATCAGGTGCCGTACGAAGTCAACACCGAGCAGAACCAGGATCGCGATGACCACGTCCTGCGCTCCGTCAACTCTGGCTTCCAGGTCCTGAAGCCGGGCACCTTCCAGCCACCCACCCCTGAGGAGGTTGAGCTCGCCGAGCGGAGAACATCAAAGAAGCTCCAGAAGAAGAGGAGGACATCCGGTGATTCGCGGAAATCAGCCTTTACCGAACAAGTCTAATTTTTCATTACGATAATGATAATTTCGCTAAGGCTTCCACCTTGATCGCCTTCCGCGTCTCGTTTTGCTACAACAACGTGCCGGCACCAACTGCATTGAAGTTATTACAGCGTTTAATTTTGTATCATCTGGCAATCTCTGGGGCTTCTTCTGGGCAGCATTCTGGCACTGGGTACTTTGCATGTATGGTTTTGGAGCATGGACAGGCCCACCTACTGTTGTTTTTTTCCTTAATTCACTCTCTCCGCCGCAACAGGTTGCTTGGCATACCAGGAATGCGAGCGGCGTTGTAGTAACCATCATCATAATCGGGGCGTTATAGACACAAAATGGGCACACCTAACGATCGACACGTAGCATGAGTACCAGGGATTACGGGCTCATTGCATAGCATATAGTAGAATCACGAACTTCTTCTCAAATTCATTCCTTCTCAAAACTGGCATGGTCTGCGCAGGTCTGAGTGACTCGCTTCACCACTTTACTTACAACAGACTACGGCTATAATGGCCCAAGGCGACGAAGGATTAGAGTTCTCACCCCCTGAACGCCCGTGGCTTGAATTGGCGAGGCACAGTAAGAAGCCAAGTCCTCAGTTGCCGTCCGTCGTCAGCAAAGCGCCACTCAGCTGAACAATGTGCGCTGACATCAAGAAACTAGGCAAGTAAGCCACGCCCGACGTCACATGCTGGTGATTGGACGGAATCAAACGGGGCAAAACAGACTCTGCAGCAGGTAGAGAAGAAGAAAACCAAGTCTCACTTACATGAATGGATGTATGTATGTGCGTGTATGCATAGGGATGTCTCGGTAGTGGCAACTTGCGCAGCATGTACATGAAGCTACTGGATACGCGGGTTGTGAAGCCGCGGGAACTTAGGCAGCTGATTAGCCCTGGGTGGTTGTTGAATACCTGCTCTATGGTGCGGTGAACATAGGCCAGTTTGTGTGAACGCATGTTTACTTGTTTTCGCTTAATGTGATTTGATGGGGTTGACTGGAGAGGATGAACGGGGATAGGAGGGCGTTACGTCTCACGTTACGAGAAAGACGCGTGGTTCGGGAGGAATATGGAGAATGGGTTTTACAGGTTTCGCTCTCCAGCTGTTCATGTTGAATCAGGACATTGAGATACGATCTCGCAATTTGTCGACAGAAGAACGCAACCAGGTTCCTGGACCGGCAAAATCGGCTCCTACCTACCGTCTGCCGTGCCCCGACCCGTGTCCCTGTTTTCCTCCTTCCTTCTTTTCTCGCGTAACTGCCTTGTTGAGTGGCGTTTGCTCTAGTAGGTCTTGGTACATTTCCCATTTTTCTACTCCATCTTCTTTTTTTGCGAACGTGCGTTCTTCGCTTTCGGCCCGGTTCTCATCTCATCTCTTTGATGGGGGAGATGGGAAAATGAGAGAGGGGGTCGAGCGGGATGCGGAGATTGGGGAATCTTGCAGCTTGGGGAAGTAATTACCTGGATACGAGTATCGTGATAGAGCGACTAAATGGATTCGAAAAGTGGTCGCTATCCGGCCGATTTCACATGTCTAGCCAAGTCACATATTCCCATTGATTACAGACTAGCGCGATCTAGATATTTCCAATACCTCGGCTTCTACATTCTAGAACGCGTTGTCCTTGCTGAACATACATGCTGTATGCAAGGCGTAAAGTCTTCGACCGGTGAGTGGGTGAGTTATCAACTGTCGCCATTTTCCAACAACACACCCATCGCCGCGCGCTACGCCGTTACTGCCTAGGTAAGGAACCCAGACACCTAAATTAGAAACGTCGAGCCGTGTGGCGTGCATATATGCTGCGGGAGGCTTTCTCACGGTCTGTCTGGCGCAATCGATAGGGCGTTGGGTTAGCGAGAAGGCGGCAGCGGGGTTGAGTCGCGCCTTCCTATCCGCTGGTCGCGCCTGCCCAATAACCTGCTTTGTGGTGCAGCGTCCAGAGAAGCCTCATCGTCATTCACGACAACGGACTCTCGAGTTGTTTTTCCCCTTACGCTGCGAATTCGCCTAATCCCCTGATATCGCGAGCATGGGTACACGTGGATTACGACATGTAAGAGGCGGGGCGTTGTGATGCGCTGGCCCTTTACACAGGCGAGGCATCCAGGGGCAAGGTCGTAAGTACTGGTCCTGAGAGGTGTGATTGACGGTGACTTGTCACCGTCACTGTCGCACGGAATCGGTTTCAGATGCATTGGTGCAGGATCTGTGTGCCAATCGATGTCTTGTCTCTGTAGATGAGTTTTGGGATTTGATCGGTACGGGCTACCGCACACCGGGTCGTTGTTCCTCGAAAACTGCGGAGGATGTTCAGAACGACCTAAACGCAGCGCCTTTGACCACTCGGCCACAGCAAAATATCGCACATCGAGCAGCGAATACTCTTCGACATCTTTCCGACAGCGTAACTGCCGCCTCGATTCTTCTCAGTACCCTAGACGCTCCGGCGATCGCGTCACCATCCATGCTTGTATCAAGATGCTTCCTCAAAAGCACAAAGGTCGGTCATATTAATACAAGGCCGAGTTCATCAAACACCTCGGTCTCGACCATGAGCAAGCTTTCGACGTATGGTGCTTTCGTTTTCGCGCAAGCACCTCATATAAAGAAGAAATTGAACAGGTCTGCAGCCTACATTAGGATAAAAGCGCGCAAGTTAGTTAACCCAACGTCATTGTAGGCTCCGGGGTGTTCAGTTTTCTCTCTAATTGGGGTACAAGCAACCACCAACGACATCGAAGCTACCTAGGTACCTACCGACAAGTCCAGGACTTGGCTGACTCTACTTTCCGTCAGTACTGATGGATGGTTCTGCGATACGAGAGGCATCGTTCCGTGGCTGAAAGCTAATCGCGGCATGGAAGATACTGCAGGACAGTAAGGATAGCTCCTTCGGTAAGAGCTACGGCCGGAACCATATCAGCCCCAACACTTCATTCCCCATACTCGAATGAGCCTGCTACGCCAGTGCTTATGTTCATCGCAATCTAGCGACGGAGCTCGCACTATGCCTATACTTTAGGTTAGTAACGTAGGACTGCTATATACCCTTAAGATCATATTCTCTGTGTTGCAGCAAATCGTTCAGAGGTCTGCATTGCCGTTAGTCTTCGTTGGAAATTATGTCATGTACCGATGTAGGCCGCAAGAAGCAACAGGACAATTATGGAATCACACCACCCGGAAGTCTACGTTGCTCTTAGTTCTTACCTGTTATCTTATTTTGTACTATCGTAGGCCGCAAGAAGCAAGAAGGCTCTCGTAGAAACAGATCACCCAGAAGTCTACATTGCGTTGAATCTTTCTGATATCGCATTATACACTGCTTTATGCGGCACGAAGCAATGACAATGTAATAGAAGCAAGTCATGTGGAAGCCTACGTTGCTGTGATTTCTTTCTAACCGCCTTGTTTGAAGACAACTACATCTCGAATTCTGACGTGACGTGACGTACATGTCGATAGCAGCCACGGGATATCTCTACGGTATGTCTCATTGACCGCCGATTTGTCACGCTCCGTTTGCGCCTTTACCTTAGGCAGCCACCCGTCCTTCTCACTTCTGATTGACATCATCGCAACTGCCGCTCCAATTGTTTCTCATACTCGCGACACCCTACACACCCGTGCCGATATGGCCCCCCAGACCACCAAGAGGCGCAAGATGCGACCTTACGAGAGAAAGGCACAGATCATCGAACAACTGGGCTTCGGGCGTGGGCAAGCTTTCAACAAATGGCGCGCGAGCAACCTAGTGAAGCCCTACTGGGAAAGATTCAGCAGATACTTCATGAATTCGTTTCCCATCAAATCCGGCAAAAAGGGTACGAAGTTCGTCCACCTCTACACTCGGATGATCAACGGCGAGAAGGATGGCTGGGGGACATTCTCCGCCCGCGTCGACCGTCAATACACTACCGATATCGACTGGCATGCATGGCTTTTATATTGCCTTGTCGACCAGAACGCGAAGGACAGAAATGGTTGCTTCTATACGAAGGGGCTTGAGAAATTGGCAACATACCAAAGCATGTGGGACTTCATCGCCTTCGAGAAGCGGCAACGCGCACGGAACAAGGGCAAAGGCGCTGCCAGTTCATCAAATACCGGACCATCCTCGTCCAAACAACTAGACCTCCACGAATCCACCTCATCTGCGGATGTGTATGAGCATTGCCTCCATCCCGACGAAGGTGTTGCTAGCATCTTCTGGGTCGAAGGTAGGCCGGGAGCTTTGGAAGAAGATGAAGGAGCATCCATTCGAGCAACTGTCCAGGGCTTTTGTGGCATGACTGAAGTTGAGTTTGAAAGAGCGGTCATGGACGTCTTTGATCTACGTAGCCACCAGCAGATCGTGGTGGAGTTGGATGCCTGGAGGGGTTTGACGTACATCGGCGCTCAAAAGTACCACGAAACTGAAAAAAAATAAATTTCAAGTTGACCACCAGGGAAGTAGCCAACGAAGAAGAGATGAAGCCAGTACCGTTGCTTCTACAAAGGGTGCGAATAAGTTTGACGTAGCTCCCGCCGATAGGCGTTTGCTCGATTCAAGCGCACAGGACAGTCAAGTGCGTGGGTACGCCACATATCGCTTCTCTCTACCAAGTCGTTCAAGACGTATCAAGACACTGCCTCAGTGCTGGAGAGTCTTCCTTTCTTATTAGCTCAATCAAATTTGGACATATGGGGAAGGATGACGAGCCTTCAGTCGAAGAAGACAAGGGTGGAGATCTTCTCATGGCTACATGTGTATATGCAGCCTACGATAGTATCCGATAGTAAATGCAATACATCAATGAAGGGGATCTCTCTTTTCGCTCATACCAGAAACTGAATTTGGTAGACATGATCTATCCGTGGTAGATGGGTAAACTCAATACATGAGTAGATCTAACAGACCAATAAAGTAACACAACATAATACACAACAAGAAATCCAGTCCTAGCCTCTTCAGATCAACAATTAAGCATACCCACATCGCATCCACTCTCAAAAGTCCAAAAGACTTCTCCCCGGAACAACAACCGCAGTATTCGGCACCGCCAAATCCTTAGCCGGCTCTGCCTTCGGTACACTGAACCCATACTCCGCCTCCCAATCGTCTTCATAATCGCTCTCATCCTCTGAATCCCAGTCACTCTCCTCGCTGTTATCCTCATAATCGCGCTCACTCCAGCCGTCGCTATCATCGTCCGCGTCTTCCTCCTCATCTTCATCCACCCAATCCGCATCGTCCTGGTCATCGCCATCGTTCTCAAAGTCGCGCGTGGAAACCTTGACCTTACTGATGACTGGTATATCCAGAAACCTATGACAGCTCAAGTCCTCTAGCTCTCCAGTGAGCAGCTCTGTGCCAGATGTGTAGCCCAATCCGCCTTTCTTGTCTATTTCTTTGCGCTCGAAATCGAGTTGCACAATGGCCGGTTCGCCCCAGCTGTTGGTGTGGTTGAAACGCAGTACCTGCAATGTATCCCATAGTGGTAGTGGCTTTGAGGTGAGAAGCTGTTGGATGGCGTTGGCGTGGCTTCGTTTGCTGTGATGCACGTATAGGGCCTCCAATCCGCTCAGCGCTGTGAGCATGGCTTCCATACGCTTGCCGTAGTGGTCGTCGATCGTGCCTTCGCTCATCTTCAGGTATTTGACGGTCGACGCGTAGGTGGGATTCGAGGTCACGGTGCGTAGGAACAGATCCCAACGCGTATTGGCGATTGTTAAGCTGATGTTCTTCGCGATGTGTACGGAGGAAATGCGATTGAGTGAGTGCGCCGTCAAGGAGAGGTTGATAATATGGCGGTAGAGTGTTGGCTGTTGGCCTTCTTCAATGTCATTGACACTGGGCCGATCGGGCGCAAGGTATACGGATATTAGATGGAGGACTGGGTCGGGGAGGGACGATAATGTAACAAGGGACATATTTGCGGTAAGAGACGAGGTTGCGAGGTATTTGCGACAAATTTGCAGACTTAGGTGTTGGGTTTGGAGGAAAAAGAGGCGAGGTGGTGGGTATGTATTGGAGAGAGACGCGTCTCGATGATGTAGACGCGCCGAAATGGCGCTAAGTTTGAGATGGTATGGCGCGTGCACCCCCTAGACACAAGAACGCGAAATGGCGCGGTAGTGTTCCCGGGACATAGGCGAAGTGCCGGTAATGGCAGCAGCAGCAGCAGCAGCAGCAAAGGTCGATAAGTTGTGAATACCCTCTCGGCACATGAATCCTATTGCATTGCCATAATATGTTGACCCAAACGCCGCGCTATGCATGTTGAAAATCAATCACGTCCTACCCTCGCTCACAACTTGACTTTCTTCACGGTCTTTTGTTCCGCCGTCGCGTCGTCCTTCTTCCGCTTGAAGATGCTCTGGCTCTTCATTTGACCAAGTCCGGCCTTGTTCGCCGGTGCAGCCTTTGCTTTCAACCCAAAACTGAGCTTGACAGGCGCTGCATCCGCCTTCGGCTCCGCAGGATCGGTCTTCTCATCTCCTTGTGTTTGTTCGTCGGCCGGCGATTCGACCTTCTTCTCCTCGGTCGGGGACGCTCCTTCTGCCGGCGGGGTGACCTGTTGTTGTACTGTTGCCTGTGCCGCCGCTCGTTTTGCCTCGATAGCCTTCTTGGCCTCGGCTTCTTCTTGTGCACGCTTCGCCATCTTCTTCAACATCTTGTCTTCGCCCGCACCACTCCGTGCCTCAGCAGCCTCCATTTCCGCGATCTCGTTGCGCCTGTTCAAAGCCGCAACGGAAGTATCTCTCCAAGCGATCATCAAGCCGTCCTTTTCGTCCTCCTTAACATGACAAATACCCTCGCGTCCTAGGTGTTTGGCGAACTCGGTGAGGGAACTCCACTTAGTAGCGTTCATGTGGACGTGTTCCTTGTCTCGGATATACTCGTTGTAGAACTTGTTGACGCCGATCCATTTCTCGTTGTGTGCTGTCCGCAGAAGATTGACGAAATCCCTTTGGAACTCGTTGCTGAAGCCTTGAATATACTTCTTAGGGTCCTCGCCGACGACTTGCAAGTTTCGGACATGGCCCTCGCTCTGGACGTGGCATTTGAAGCCGTTGGCGTCGCGACATTGCTTCTGGCACGGCTCACACCACCAGCGCAAGCGCTGCAAGCCCTTCGACTTCATCTTGTTGGCCACCCATTTGGTACTACCCGCTTCGGCCTTGCCCATGGTTGTGGCGGTGTCGACGGTGGGTGGGCGTAGAGGGTAATGCGGTTACGAGGACGGTCGTCGCGTACGCGGTGTGAAATCACAGCGGATCTCGAGGATAGTCCCGTGTAGTCGTGTGGGATTCGTATAGGTAGCCGCGATGCGTGGGCCGGAAGGTCGTATGGTGATTGAAGATTGGCGTGAATTCGCAAGACTCGTAGGGCTGCTCAAGTGGCTGACTAAAGAGATCGCCACCCGCGGCTGCGCTAGCGCTAGACAGAACTGGGTCCACTGCGCACGTAGGTAACTGCGTCGCATGTGCGCTCTCGATGTCTCGCATTCGATAAGTTGACAGCAAGCTCTTTGAGAATAAAAAGGCCTCCAAAAGTTGCGATGGTAGCAGTACCATCGAAGTCACCAGTATTAGTGGGTATCGGATTTCACCACGAGCGCTATCTGAACGTACGATGTAGAAACACTTGGACCGAATACCCGTTACTATACTAAGAGGATGGCACGAAGAAGGCACGTCGCTCTCGGCTTCTCTGACCATCTGTTAGGTAAAGGCGGGTGTACTTTCGTTTACCTGCTTCTACACAGACCAATATCACCTATAAGTGTATCGTCGCCCACATCATGACATACACCACTGCATCTTACCTTTACGAAAGGTCCAGTCACTTCAGATTATCGGTAATCTCAAGTTACGAGGTAGCGAATCGAACCCCTCAGCAATAAAGGCATGTATTTCGCGGTCATGAGCCGTCTCAAGATCATTGCTGACTCAGGACACAGACATAAACCGTATTCCATCACTTCTTCAAGCATAGTCAGGACTAGCTGGCATGGCGAGAGGCAGCCCCGCAGGATATTCCAAGAAGCGACAACGTGCGCGCAAACCGTACAAGAACAAAGCAAAAGTCGTCGCCTCTTTCGGATGCTTTGACACTAATACCGCGTTCGAGGAATGGCGACAGTCATCGCTGGTTAAGCTGTGGTGGGACATCTTTGTTAGCAAGTTTCTCAACACTAACCTTTTCAGGCCTGATAAGCAAGTCGACGACTTTGAAGATTTGTATGCCTAGATTAAAGAAGGAGAGAAAAACAGTTGTAGGAGGTTTAATAAATATATAACTTCTTCTAACTACAAAGACGCGACAGACTAGCATGCATAGCTAACACACTAGCTTGTTAAGGAGAACAAGATTGACTTTAAAGGGTGTTTCTTTAGCTCGCGCCTAGAGAACAAAGCTATGTTCTAAACAGCTTACTACTACATCTTATTTGCGAAGCGAGAGCGCGCCAGAGCACTTACGAGATCCAAGACCACCAGATCGCCAAAGACCAAACCCAAACCAACCGCCACACGTCTCGCCGCACCCCTACTAGACGAGTCCGACACTACCTAGCGGGATTTACAGCTTGGTATGGCTATTGTTAAGTGGACCAAAGGTTAGCCTTCTGATCTGCCATTGAACGCGACTACAACTGTCGTTGAGTCTTTTTGTGGCTACAAATTGGACGGCTTCTAGCAAGAGATCGACCGGCGTTTCGATCTGAGTACCTACAAGCAGCGGTCAACGGCTCTTGTAGCCACGAACGGAATGTTTTTCGAGGACGCCCAAGACCAAGCGGCACAGAGTGGTGCGGTGTTGTTCTCGCTGGAGACACGGGGTGTTTCGATAGAACGACTACATATTGGGCGAGGTATTACTTCCGTGGAGGAGAGGGGTTATTAGGCTAGGAGAAAAGTGCATATTGCACAGGGAAAAGTAAAATGAACAGGTGCCCTGCAGTCTACATTAGCATGGAAACACAAGTTCACGAAGTCCCAAGGTCATGTGGACGTCTAGGTCGGAAAGTAGGTGTTCAACCATCTTCTCGGATGGATGCTTCCATATCCAAATAACACAAACCTTCTCGTGCTTTAGCACACTAACCTCTTGTACCAACGACCCCCCTAATGCAGAACCATCCCCTTGCATACCCGTTGCGGCCCGCTGTCTTGGCTACAATCAACACTCTTCATTTCTTTCCCAACCCGGTAGCAAAAAAGATCTAGAACATATGAGGAGCGGGATGTTCCAATACAACAACCAAATATCGTATGAGGTTTGCTTCCGCGGAGGCAGGGGTAGTGCTAGATCAGGGAGAAAGTGCGAGCCTCGGAAGAAGTGCGAAGGAGTGCGACAAAAAGTGCGAATTGCGACTGTGTTCTACGGTGGAGTAATCAGAAGTTACCTCTTTGGGGGCACTCGGGATGGGAAACTGAGAATTC